GATTCAACAAGAGGGAGACCATACACAGAGAAATTAAGATCACTTATGTATGAGTTCAAAAGTCGCAATGTTCCCTTGAATCATATATCGCCATTAATAAGATCAGTGTTGTCATTAGTTAACATTGAGGTAGGAGAGTTACCTTCTCCATGTGTTGCATCCACAATGTCATCAGAAATGAATTATGTTGTCAAACAACAATTGAATGAGGAACTTACCAGTGAACAAAATCTGACCATGCATCGCGATGCTACAACAAAGAAAGGTCGCCACTTCTATGGTATAGAGCTTACAACACGGGATACAACATTAACAGCAGGTGTGAGGGAAATATCCGACGGCAAAGCACCAACTTATTTAAATTGTACCAACCAAGTTTTATCTGACATTGATTCAAATAATAATATTTCTTCACACACCATTTTAAGTAAGGTTTCTAATTTCATGACAGACAGAAGTGCTACAGAAAACAAAGTTAACTGTATGATAAATGATTCGGTCAACCAATCATCTACAATCAATTCTTTTGAATGTGCAGTACACCCTTTACCTCAATTTTCTGAAGTATGTGAGAAAGAGTTGAAAGATATTGAAAAGACATTTGAAATAAACATTTCAAATGTGGGTAAAGGGGAATCGTTCACTCGTAATTTAATTAGGTCCCTATCAAAACTGTTTTTTTTAAAGATGGATCAGGAGATCCGCTATTGGCATCCCTATACTTAAAAGACAGAGGGATACAAATCCCTATTGTAAACTTTCGGGGAAATCGGTTTAATGTTTTTTTTTACAATGCAGCAGGAACATATTTTTTAGCAAAACCCCTTATAGATTATTTACAAAACTCCAAATCAACTGTGAACTTTACCCAAAATTTAATTTTAGAGGGAGTGAAAAATGTAAAAGTTTTAGACATTTGCCGTTGCCTTGGACTCATCTCCAAGGCCATTACTGAACCCTACTGGAGACTAGCAGGAGGAGGTGTTGAATGAGCTTTAGACATGGGACCAGTGTATGTGCGCCTTGTCGAAGTATTGTCAGCCGTAATGGAAAACCCCAACCTTTTACTAACTAACAACATCAGATTGTTTCCAGGTCCTTGTACTCCTGTGGATGATGTACACACATATTTGCTATCGGAAAATGTATCTGAATTTTGCCCTCTGATCTTGCAAAAATTATGCCATGCATTGAAGTTGAAAGCCGTTCATTTATTTAAGGATTTTTTACCTGGAGGTTCTTTAAACTGCCCATCAGCAATATTAGTTGAGAAAAGCAAATCCTGCCCTCCACACAACATCACCGTTGAGCGACTTATGGCAAAGGTGGACAGGTCGATGAAATGTTCTCCCAATATTACTATCAATACCCTTGAAAGCAATATCTGTTATACAGGTAATAAAACACGAGAATGGCTAAAGGCAAAGCCAGAACCTGAGCAGAAACACATTATTTCGAATGCAAGACTGGGGAAAAAACATTATATAAAGACAGTCAAAGAAAGAAAGGAGGTGCTAAGGAAATCCCAGCTGCAAATTATTAGGAACAGAACAGAGACC